ATGGAATATCTTTTTCCATATCTTTATTTTCAGTCTTTGTGTGTCTTTACAGATGAAGACTATTTCCTGTAGGCAACAGATCAATGTACCTTGATTTTTTAATCCATTCAGCCACTCTATATCTTTTGATTGGAGAGTTTAGTACATTTATATTTAATGTTACTTTTTTCTACTTCTTTTCCAGTAGTCATACAATGTTATGATTGGTAAGTGAGGACTTAGTCCTGCCATTATTGTTGTTTGTTTTCTGGTTGTTTTGTGATCTTTTCTTCCTTCCTTCTTTCCTTTCTTGTATTACTCTTAGCAGGTATCTTCAGTCTTTGGGAGTTAGAATATTAAATGCCTTGAGGTAGTCTTTTTTGTTTTTTTGAGGCAGAGTTTTACTTTTTTGCCCAGATTGGAGTGAAGTGGTGGGATCTCCACCAGGTTCAAGTTATTCTCCTGCCTTAGCCTCCTGAGTAACTGGGATTACAGGAACCCAACACCACACCCACTAATTTTTTTTGTATTTTTAGTAGAGATGGGGTTTCACTACATTGGCCAGGCTGGAATGGAACTCCTGACCTCAGGTGATCCTCCCGCCACAGCCTCCCAAAGTGCTAGGATTACAAGCTTGAACCACTGCGCCCGCCTGAGGTAGTCTGTGAGTTAAATCTACCTGTTCTGTAACTTTCTTTTACTTGGATATTGTGATCTTCCTCTGGGTTTGGGAGGGCCTTTGTTATTATCCCTTTGAATAAACTTTCTACTCCTATCTTTCTATCTCTTCTTTAAGGCCAATAACTTAAATTTACTGTTTTGAGGCCGTTTTCTAGATTCTGTAGGCGTTCTTCATTGTTTTTTAGTGTCACTGACTGTATTTTCAAATAGCCGGTCTTAAAGCTCACTAATTCTTCTGCTTGATCAATTATGCTATAAAAAAGACTTTGATAAATTCTTCTGTTTGCCAATTGCATTTTCAGCTCCAGAATTTATGCTTAATCTTTTTTATTTATTTTAATCTCTTTGTAATGTTTATCTGATAGAATTCTGAATTCCTTCTGTTTTCTTGAATTTCTTTGTGTTTTCTCAACAGAGCCATTTTGAATTCTCTGTCCAAAAGGTCACATATCTATTTTTCTTTAGATAGGTCCTTGGTGCCTTATTTAGTTCTTTTGGTGAGTGTATATTTTCCTGGATGGTGTTAATGCTTATAGATATTATTTAGTGTTTGAGCATTTAAGAATTGGATATTTATTAAGTCTTTATAGTCTGGACTTGTTTGTACCCATCCTTTTTGGGAAGGCTTTCCAGGTATTTGAAGGGACTTGGGTATTGTGATCCAAAGCTTAATCTGCTTTAGGGGCAACTCAAGCACAGTAATCCTGTGGTTCTTGACGACTTGTAGAAGTACCGCCTTGTTAGATTTGGGCAAGATCCAGGAAATTTCTCTGGATTACCAGGCAGAGACTTATTCTCTTCCCTTAATTTTTCCCAAACAAATGAAGTCTCTCTCTCTGTTCTGGGCCACCTGAAGCTGGAGGTAGTGTGACACAAGCACCCCCGTGGCCACCACCACTGTGACTGCAGTGGGTCAGACCTGAAGCCAGGACAGCACTGGGTCTCACCCAGGCCCTGCTATAACCACTGCTTGCCTACTTACGTATGTTCACTCAAGACCCTGGAACTCTGCAGTCAGCATGTAATGAAGCCAGCCAGGCCTATGTCCTTCCCTTCAGAGTAATGAATTCCCCCAGTTTCTGGGGAGTGCTGGCTGGGAGACAGGGACTACAGTAAAAAACCTCAGAAGTCTACTTGTTGTTCTATTGCACTGTGGCTGAGCTGCACCACACCACAAGATGCAGTCCTTCCCACTATTTCCTCCTCTTTCCAAAGGCAGAGGAGCCTTACCTTGGGGCCACCACCACTACAGGCCCATGAGGAGTACTGCCTGACTACGGCTGGTGTTCCCTTAAGGCCCACGGGCTCTTAAGTAAGCTGGTGGTGAATCTGCCTGGCCTGGGACCCACCCTTCAGGGCAGTGGGCTCTCCTTTGACCCAGGACAGGTGCAGAAATACCATCCAAGAGCCAAGTCTTGGAATTGGGGACCCCAAGAGCCTGCTTTGGGTTCTATTCACCTGTGGCTAAGCTGGTACCTAAGGTGCAAGACAGAGTCCCTTTACTCTTCCCTCTGCTTCTCTCAAGCATAAAGAATCTTGCTCCATAGCAACCACACCTGGAAGGTGCTCAGTTTCACCTGAAGGTCCTCAACATAGTACCTGTGTATCACTGCTGGTTGTTCAGTGCTGGAGGTTGAGGTCAGGGGATTGCTTATAGCCAGGAATTTGTGACCAGCCTGGGCAACAAAGCAAGACCCTATCTCTAGCAGGGGAAAAAGAATTCAAGCATGGTGGTACATACAGCTACTTGAGAGTCTGAGGCAGAAGGATTGCTTGAGCCCAGAAGTTTCAGGCTGCAGTGAGCTATGAACGTGCCACTGCACTCTAGCCTGGGCAATAGAGTGAGACTCCATCTTTAAAAAAAAATGCATACAAATCTATTATATTACCAGTCTTACTTATGGTTGTAATCTTAAGATATTGTATGCAAGAGCAATAAATAAATATTCTCCTCAGTTGTTAACTTCATTAGATTTTTAACCATTGCTATTTTAAGGCTTTGTCATTCATGGTTATTGTTTTGATTTTTTTTTTTTAAGAAACAGATTCATGTAAAATATTCTATCAAGTACTCTGTTTTTTTTTTTTGAGACAGAGTCTTTCTCTGTTGCTCAGGCTAGAGTGTAGTGGTGCAATCCTGGATCACTGCGACCTCTGCCTCCCTCCCAATTCCAGTGATTCTCATGCCTCAGCCTCCTGAGTAGCTGGGGCTACAGGAATGCACTATCACTATGGATTTATTTTTTTATTTTTAGGAGAGATGGGGTTTTGCTATGTTGGCCAGGCTGGTCTTGAGCTCCTGGTCTCAAATGATCCTCTTGCGTTGGCCTCCCAAATTGCTGGGATACAGGCATGAGCCATTGTGCCCAACTCTTAAAAAGTATTCTTAAATACAGGTTTCTGATGACTTTAAGATCAATGTACAAAATAACAATTTCCATAACTGTAATAAAATAATAGGTCCATGAAACTATTAAGATCAGGCAGAACAAAAATTAATAACATGAATTTAAATAAATAATGAAGACACTGTTTTTATTCTACTTGAAATGTTGTAGGTTCATTACTCAAAGTTTTCCAGATTTAAGAAAATCTTGTCTCTTAAGTGATTTATAATTACAGCAATTTGATTAAGTATACTTGCATAAACAAAGATAAAAACTTTCTCTTGATTCTTCCATAATTAGAAAACCATTTCTGAGTCTTATGGTAATAAGGTTCTAATAATCTGCTCTCTCTGTACAGCAGAATCTCTTAGAAACTGGTTTTATTACCAAGGCTTTGACTGGAAGGTCATTTTTGAAACTACTGAGGCTGGGCGCGGTGGCTCAGGCCAGCAATCCCAGCAGGTTGGGTGACTGAAGTGGTGGATCGTTTGAGCCCAGGAGTTAGAGGGCAACCTGGATATGGTGAAACTCCCTCTCTCCAAAAATACAAAAATTAGCCAGGCGTGGTGGTCTGTGCCTGTAGTCCCAGCTTACTAGGAAGGTTGAGGTGGAAGAATCGTTTGAGCCCAGGAAGCTGAGGCTTCAGTTCTTCTGTGAGCGGTGATCGTGCCACTGCACTCCAGTCTGGGCGACCCTGTCAGTGAGACCCTGTCTTAGTAAAAACAAATAAACAAAACCTAAAACTGGAATGATATTCTGTACTGGGAATGTGGATTTGTGATGAAATACAGGAAATTTAAAGCCTACGCTAGAATTAATTGAAAAAAGGCAAAACAAAACAAAACAAACATTCAAGGTTGGCTATATTGAATTTGAATGCAAAGATTTAAAAAAAAGCAAAACACAAAAAACAAAAGACAAAACATAGATACAAACGCGTATACCAGGAAATACACTCTAAGGTATATACGAAAAATATATTTAACACGTGTGTATCAGGACGCAGGTACGAGTAACTTCAAAGCAGCGCTGTTTCAAATAGTAATGAAAAGGGAAAAACTGGGGCCGGGCGCGGTGGCTCACGCCTGTAATCCCAGCACTTTGGGAGGCCGAGGCGGGTGGATCACGAGGTCAAGAGATCGAGACCATCCTGGTCAACATGGTGAAACCTCGTCTCTACTAAAAATACAAAAACTTAGCTGGGCATGGTGGCGCGTGCCTGTAATCCCAGCTACTCAGGAGGCTGAGGCAGGAGAATTGCCTGAACCCAGGAGGCGGAGGTTGCGGTGAGCCGAGATCGCGCCATTGCACTCCAGCCTGGGTGACAAGAGCGAAACTCCGTCTCAAAGAAAAAAAAAAAAAAAAAAAAAGGAAAAGCTGGAAACTGTTCAAAAGCGCCATCATCTGGATGATCTTGGTCTTGCGCGCCCAGTCTTCAATGTGAATAATGTACTGGACCAGCACTACCCCCGCCACCAGGGCGCACAAGCTGGCGCTCGCTACACCACCTATCCTCGCCACGGCCGCACCGTCCACGGACGGGGCCCTCACGCGCGTCCCAGCCGGAAAAAAACAGACGACTCGCGGCGATACCGAGTCTCAGAAGAGCGGGACCTTAGAGCACCACGGACAGGCCCGCGACGCCCCGCCCCCGCCAGGCCCCACCCACACGCGCCGAGGGGAGGGGGCGGGCTCGCGGCCTGAGGGGCGTGGCATGAGCCCGAAGACCAGGCGGGAGGCGGGTCTTCCTTGAAGAACTGCAGCCCGGCCAGGGCAGAGGAGTGCAGTAATTACCCTTTTCTGCTAATGAGGACTAGTTCGTGGTTCACTCGAGCCCCGCCCCGGTAGAAAACTGATTCCAACCGCGGCCCGCTCAGACGTCGGTCTCCGCCTTTGCGCCTCAGCCGCTCTGGACTCCAGCCCCCAGAAGACAGCGCGGCGCGGCGTGACCTGCGCAGTGGCATCCGTTGTAAGTGCTATGACAACCGTGCGAAGATGGCTCGGAGTTAGGCTGGAGAGGGGAGGTGTCCCTTCCGCCGCGGCCGTCGGGTTTCTGCTGCGTCCCACTCGCCGCCTCCTCCATCCTTTCCTCCTCTGTGTGAGCAGAAGGACTTGCAGTTGTTCTTGCCTGCCCAGTGTCTTCCAAGGGATAGATGCCGCTTCCTCTGCTGGGCTCTGGGGGTGACGGGGGCGCAGGGGAGCTTTCTGGGGGAATTGCTCCAACTCTGTGGAGCTAGTGGTGCTGCCTGGTGGAGCTCTCTCTTTGCCCGGAACGTGGAACAAGTTCGAAGGCGAGAACGAGAGGGAATAGTAAAGCTAAAGGTCGCTTTTCTCTGCACCCTCCGTTCTTGCTCCCTCTGTTCCGTCACTGGGACCTTGTCAGGCGTTCAGAAAGGGAAATTTGCGGAACTAAGGTTCACAGAAAGGTGGGACAGAGCTCATCTGACGTGGCATCAGGTAAGATTGTTTGTCTGGTGTTAAACTTCGGGCACATGAATGCCATTTCCATGTATTGTGAACCAGATCCTCTGATGCAATATAATGGTTTGGGGGCTGTAAGGTGATTGATTTCTTAGGAAGATGTTTGCATTCAAATAAACAAACACTAGGAGCGCAAAGTGTGTGAGAGTCTGTGAACATCTTTGAGAAAAGGGGGATAAGAATTTTTAAGTATTGCATTGAGGAATGTCACGTGGAGCATGAGCATCCTCCTGAGACACTTCAACAGGTTTCTGAGGAAATGGTCAAAGCAGTTCCCAGCCTAACACTGAAGTAGGATGCATGTACTAATACTCCCTAATCCTTTTCGTAATAGTAAAAATGAAGCTATATCTTATAGGTATACACATACTACACGTACTCATTGATAAACAACTTGAAAGATGCTACAGGATAAGCTATGGGTCTTAAGTTGGCCGGCATATAGCGAGAGAAAGATTTTCTAACTTAGCATTTTCTAAAGAAAATAATTGCTGAGTTTTTTTTTCATGAAAAAACTGAAGAATTAAAAAAAGAAATTTTAGGAAACCCAGAAGTTTTTAAAGAATAACTTTAAAAACCTTTATTTGTTAAAACAGCCACCTCTTAAATGAAACCTAAATCTGAGTAAACTTGTTTTGGAAAATAACATGATATACATAGGTATTCAAGAAAGTGTCAAATGAAAAGTATAGAAGAGAATTTCTAGAGTTTAGGGGTAAGGAGATTATCTCCCATTTATTATTCTAGTAAGGTATTAGAAACTAATCTGTTGTGCCTATTTATAGGAATGCACCTGTTAAAACCTTCAAATTATTGTTTTCTAATCATCTTTGAACAATTTAATCAAATGTATTAAATGTATTTAATCAAATGTATTTACTACAGTTTGAACTTGTGGTGATTAGAATTAGTGTGAATAGAGCTACTGCTTTATAGTCTACATGGAGGAGGGTGTGCATAGGCTGTTTGTTTATGGTTCCGGGTACCCACTGGGGCAGGTCGCTTAGCCTCTGTGTATTGAAGGGTACCTGAATAATAGTATCTACAATTTACTTTGTTGTTTTGTTATGAAGATTAAGACAGAATGCTTGCAAAGCATTTAGGATCCTGACTGGGCTTTAGTAAATGATTAGTATTTTCCTTTAAGGCGAAGTCATTAAAAACCTGATTTTTGGTGTTTATTTTCCAAGTACGTAAAGAAAAATCAGTGAGAAACTGGAAATCAATATTGAATGAAAAGGGGATAAAATGCAAACTTCAGTTTCTTACTTTTATTCAAGATAGTTAACTGATTAAAAAAATCAATGTATATATATTTTATTTTTTGTTCTTTAGAACACTGTTTATTTTTGTAACCCAAAAGCCAGGTTTCATGACTGAAAAATATTTTATTAGTATTGTTCCTTACTATCCTTCCTCCTAACCTATCAGCACCAGACCCAACTGCTTATGTTAATATCTCAGTGTCAAGGCCTATATCTTTCTTAGATTGGAATACAAGTTGGCATTTTATTTGGGTCTCAATTTATGGCTAAGTTTTCATTTTCTTGATGGCTTGGGTTGTCTTCCAGGAGAAAGGGTGGAATTTATTTTGCTATTGTTCTTTTTCTCATATTAAAAAAGTTTTAATCATTTTAATTTTTTCTGCCATGCTGGGCTAATGTCTTTATTTGTTGTAGAGACAAAATCTCACTGTGTTGCCCAGGCTGGTCTTGAACTCCTCAGCTCATGTGATCCAACCGCCTTGCCCTCCCATAGTGCTGGGATTACAGATGTGTGTGCCACTGTGCCTGGCCTATTGTTCTTAAATAGTAATAAAGGTGGCCAAAATACAGGAGTGTTCTACTTTAAAAAAAGAAAGTGAAACAATTTTTTTTGTGTGGAATTTGAAGAACAAGCGAAAGTATAAGGAATAACAAAATGAACCCCCAGGTATTCATCACCATTTTTTCTCTTTAAAAAAAAAAACAACACAGCTTCCGGTCGGGCGCGGTGGCTCACCCCTGTAATCCCAGCACTTTGGGAGGATGAGGCGGGTGGATCACGAGGTCAAGAGATTGAGACCATCCTGGTCAACATGGTGAAACCCCGTCTCTACTAAAAGTACAAAAAAAATTAGCTGGGCATGGTGGCACGTGCCTGTAATCCCAGCTACTCAGGAGGCTGAGGCAGGAGAATTGCCTGAACCCAGGAGGTGTAGGTTGCGGTGATCCGAGATCGCGCCATTGCCCTTCAGCCTGGGTAACAAGAGCGAAACTCCGTCTCAAAACAAAACAAAACAAAACAAAACAAAACAAAACAAAACAAAACAAAACAAACCAGCTTCCTTGAAATATAATTCAAATACTGTACAATTCACCCATTTAACGCAAAATTCAGTTCCTTTTTTGTATGTTCACAAATACGTGCAATCATTACCACAGTCAAGTCTGGATTATTTTTATCAACTCAAAAAGAAACCTCACATCCTTTAGCTATAACTCTCCTTCCCTCTTTCTTCTCCCCTACCCCCAGACCTAAGCAACTGCTACTACTTTCGGTCTCTATGAATTTGCCTATTCTGGATATTTTATATAAACAGAATTATATAATAGGTGGCCTTTTGTGTCTGGCTTCTTACACTTAGCATGTTTTTAAAAGCCAGATATGTCTGATTCTAAAACCTATATGCTCTTCATTTATGTTGTAACATATATCCGTATTTTGTTCTCTTCTTTTATATGGCCAAGTAATATTCCACTGTATAGATACTACCTTTTGTTTATATATTCATCAGCTGATGGACATTTGGGTTGTTTCCAAATTTTGGCTATTATGTATAATGCTACTACATACAACTATGTGTAAGTTTTTTTGTATGGACATTTGTTTTCATTGCTCTTGGATAGATAGACACTTTAGAGTTAAATTGCTGTGTCATATGGTAATTCTATGTTTAAGTGTTAGAGGAACTTCTAGATTATTTTCTAAAGTGGTTGCATCATTTTGCATTCCCACTAGCAGTACATGAGGGTTCTGATTTCTCCATGTCCTCACCAACACTTATTACTATCTGACTTCTTCGATTCTGTCATACTAGGTGTGAAGTGGTATCTCATCGTTTTGATTTGTGTTTCCCTGATGACTAATGGGGCGGCCCATCTTTTTTTTTTTTTTTTTTTTTTTTTTTTTTTTTTTGAGATGGAGTTTTGCTCTTGTTGCTCAGGATGAGTGTGATGGTCTCCGCTCACTGCAACCTCCACCTCCCAGGTTCAAGCAATTCTCCTGCCTCAGCCTCCCAAGTAACTGGGATTACAGGCACCTGCCACCATGCCTGGCTATTTTTTTTGTTTTTTGTATTTTTAGTAGTGACGAGGTTTCACCATATTGACCAGGCTGATCTTGAACTCCTGACTTCAGGCGATCTGTGCGCCTTGGCCTCCCAAAGTGCTGATATTATAGGTGTGAGCCACCGAGCCTGGCCTTGAGCATCTTTTTATATTCTTATTGGCCATTCATATATCTTACTTGGAAAAATACATATTCAGACCCATGGTTCATTTTTAATTGGACTTCAAAAAAAATTATTGAGTTGTATGAGTTCTTACATATTAAAGATATAAGTTTCTTATCAGATATATGATTTGCAAATATTTTCTCCCATCATTTCATCTTCTTGATGGTGTCCTTTGAAATCCAAAAGTTTTTAAGTTTTGATGAAGTCTAGTTTATTTATTGATTTTGTTTTTTTTTTTAAGATGGAGTTTCGCTCTTGTTACCCAGGCTGGAGTGCAATGGCACGATCTCGGCTCACCGCAACCTCCGCCTCCTGGGTTTAGGCAATTCTCCTCCCTCAGCCTCCTGAGTAGCTGGGACTGCAGGCACGCGCCGCCATGCCCAGCTAATTTTTTTTTTTTTGTATTTTTAGTAGAGACGGGGTTTCACCATGTTGACCAGGATGGTCTCGAACTCTTGACCTCGTGATCCACCCGCCTCGGCCTCCCAAAGTGCTGGGATTATAGGCGTGAGCCACCGCGCCCAGCCCTTGATTTTGTTTTTTTGAGATAAAGTCTCACTCTGTTGCCCAAGCTGAGGTGCAATGGCATGATTTTAGCTCACAGCAACCTCAAACTGTTGGGCTCAAGCCTTAAACTCCTGCCTCAGCCTCTCAAGTAGCTGGGACTATAGGCACACACACCATGCCCAGCTAATTTTTTATTTTTTGTATAGATGGGGTCTCGCTTTGTTGCCCAGGCTCTTCTCAAACTCTCAGCCTCAAGCAGTTTGCCTGCCTTAGCCTCCCAAAGTGATGGGATGCCTGTAGGCATCAGCCACTGCACCTGGATTTATTTATTTATTTATTTAAAGACAGAGTCTTGCTCTGGCATCCACGCTGGAGTGCAGTGGTGCAATCACAGTTCTCAGTAGCCTCAACCTCCTAGTGTCAAGCAATTCTCCCACCTCAGCCTCCCCAGTAGCTGGGACTACAGGCACATGCCATCACACTTGGCTAATTTTTATATTTTTCATAGCAATGGGTCTCATCATGTTGCTAAGCCTGGTCTGAGACTCCTAGCTCAAGCAATCAGCCTCCCAACGTGTTGGAATTACAGGCTTGAGCCACCATGCCTGGCCCTTATTTATTTTTTATTGCTCATGTTTCTGGTGTCAAATCCAAAAATCCATTGCCAAATCTGAGGTCATAAAGATTTACTTATATAGTTTTCTAAGAGTTTTATATTTTTAGTTATACGTTAGTTTATACTTAGATCTTTGACACATTTTGAGTTAATTTTAAAAATCTGTTTGGAGGTAAGTGTCCAATTTCTTTCTTTTGCATGCGGCTATTCAGTTGTCTGAGACCCATTCGTTGCAATTACTCATTGAATGATCTTGGCACCCTTATTGAAAATCCGTCGATCATAGATGTGTGGGTTTATTTCTGGACTGTCAGCAGATTCCATCTATCTTTATGTCTATCCTTATGCTAGTGCCAT